CCCCCCGCTCCAGACCTCCTGTTATGGGTGCTAGTGGGGAGGAGGAAGCTCGAGGACCCTCCTTACCTCCCTCAGCCACAGTCAGTTGAGGCCAGGGGACAAAGGGGAAGGAGAGAGGGAAGGAGGACCACCTGACCATGCCCAGAAGGAGCTTCCTCTAAACTGCCCTGGGGAGGAATCCTGGTTTGCTGGTGTAGACTGGAGCTGTTTGGGGATACTGTTAAAGAAAAGAACTACAGGGCTTCCCTGGTGGCGCAGTGGTTGAGGGTCTGCCTGCCGACGCGGGGGACGCGGGTTCGTGCCCCGGTCCGGGAGGATCCCACATGCCGCTGAGCGGCTGGGCCCATGAGCCATGGCCGCTGAGCCTGCGCGTCCGGAGCCTGTGCTCCGCAACGGGAGAGGCCTGCATACCGCAAAAAAAGACAAACAAACAAACAAACAAACAAAAAATACAAAATAGAAAATGTAAGGAGGAAAAAAAAGAAACCTTGCCAGGGCACCAGGAGCTTAGCCCCCCATGTGGCACAGAGTCCCAAAGCTGGGCCCCTGCAGTTGCAGTCCAGTGAGTTGAATGTCTTGGGGCCTGTGTGATGTGCGGGGAGGGATGCGTGGGGAGCTGGCAGTAGATGGTGGGTCACGTGCAGCCGGCTGCTGCCCTTGCCCAGCCTGGGGGCCCAGGGGTGGTGAAATCCTAGCTTTTCCTTGAGGCCCTTTCATTCTTGGGACTGTGGAGTTGCTTGCTGAAATTCTTCACTTCAGGCGCTGCTTTGGCACACGTGGAGGGGAGAGGGTGGCCCCTAGTCTCTTGGCTCCCTGAAGACTGGCCCATGGGAACAGTTGAGGGAGACTCTTGCCGCTATCTGCCCTGGAGCAGGACATGCCCTCAGATGCGCCAGAGGCCTTCTTTATTGCCAGGTGAGCGTCATCACCTCACTGCCTCCTGCCTTGGTTTCCCTAGGTATAGAAGGAGGCTGGTGGGTGGTATAGATTAGGTCCCCTGTGGATGCACAGAGGGCCATAGGGTTAGGTGCATAGAGGCCAAATGAAGACCCTGGCTCCAGAGGTGGGACCACCTGTCAGGCTCCAGCAGAGAACGTCCCTCCTGTGGTTCTTGTCTGCTGAAATCGCCTTCCCTTGACATGGTGGTATTGATCTCGAGCACTAAGGGCTCCTGGGAAGGCCTAGTAACTCCGGATGCCTATGCCTGTGATTTCTGCCTGAGCTTCACCCGCTTCCGGGGGATCATCTCAGTGTGTCTAAGGCTCCTCCCCATGGGGAAGGTGATGGAAACAGCAACTGCTGGCCCCAGGGACCTTTCTGGTCTACCCAGGGGAAATGCCTGCTGCCTGCAACTTAACCCCTCTTTTGGACCTAACCCCAGTTAAGATGCTGGGCTGGAGCTGTATTGCTTTCAGAGAGTGTGGTAGAGAAAAATCCCTGTGGAGCTAGTGGTCTCTTCCGTCTGGAAATCTGACCTCAGCAGCACAGGGAAAGCTATCCCTGGGGATAGAGGTTGCAGGGTCCCTTTTGGCTGTGCTTGGGATTGTGGGGTAGATACCCATGTGGCCCCCTGACTCAAGGCCAGGACCTTCCGGAGGAGCTAAACAAGGGTGCCCGCCACACCTTAATGGCTTTGGCCCCAGCATTTGTCCCAGCTGTCTGGGGTTGTTACGTGGGTCGTAATAAATACCCAGGTGTGGCCACATTTGCCACCCCAGGGTGACGGGTCATGAAATTTGCTGTCGGTCCAGCCAGCACCCTCAGGTGGTACCAGCTGCAGACAGACACATGGGGTATTTGGCTTTGGGATGCTCTACTCCAGGCATTGCGGTGTCCATCGTGTACCTGGGGACCTGCGCTGTCTCCCTTAAGGGCCCTGGGTCCGAGTGGGATGTTGCTGGTTTGGCAGCTGCTGGGAGTGCAGGAGGACCCCAGAGTGGAGAGGCAGCGCCTTAGGCAGTGTGGAGACCTATCTACCTCCTTCTGGGCTGAGCCCTAAACTGTAACTGTAGTTTTAAAAGAGGGCTGGCTTGAGAGCTTCCTGGTCCTCCCTACCACCATAGGGGGTGGCAGCAAGAGGTGCTGGAGGCCGCGGGAGCCCCTTTGCACTTAGGACCCATCGATCTTGCAGGGTGCCCCCCACTTTCGGTGGGAAGAGGAGCGAGGAGGGGGTGCGGTGG